TCTGTGCAGGTAGTGCTCTCATTTAGAATAGGCATATCAGGACTGGGCTAGGAATGTACCAAACCAACAACATACCCAGCACCATGTGCTGCAGCAGAACCTAACTCCTTTTCTGACTTGGTTCTAACAGGTAAAAAACCCACTTGACACCACCCCTTTATATTTAACCTTATTAAGGTCAAAGACCTAAGATCCTCTGCAGCTCTTCTTGTCTTCCATGCCTGTTTCCCAACCTGAGCTGGTCAACGACTAGCTAAACTGTCACAATCTCTTGCCCTTCCATAACAGCCATAAGCAGGTGGCCAAAGAATTTAAGAACAAGCACACATGATACTTCCTCAACATCCTTTTGCAGCCTTCAGTCACATTCGGCTCACAGACTGCAGAGCCTGTATTGTTTTGAGATACTTAGCAAGGGATTTTCTTGGGTGAGATTCTCAAGGTATCTTCAGAAACAAGACCTTTGATACACGTGTCCTTCACACTTGAGTCACAAATTCTAAAATTTAACACAAATCTGATCCAATCTGACTGTAAATAACTGAAGTGCCACAAGCCTAACATAAACCACAGTATTTTCAGAAAAAAGTGCCTTGACCCAAGTTTGTTTATAACCAAGGAAAAAAATTACAGCATACAAACCTCTTATTTTTTAAGTCTTCCAAATTAATAAATAAAATTATGAGATTAATGAACAACTGCACTTACAGCATAGGCATACAGACCAAACAGCAAAAAAGTTTAGGTTCGGCCTACACACAAACTAGAGCAAAAGAGCAATAGAGCAAACTGAAAAATAAACTTCATACATAGCAAGTGGGAATTCAGTATTACTTATTTTTTCCAGAGGATAGTAAGAAAACATGATCTAAAAATTAATATGTAAAATTTAATTATGCAGTAAAAGCTATAACAAGTCGAAGTATAGGCTTATTGCTAACTTACTTTCCCTATTACTTTGCATGAAGATAATTCCCATTTCCTAAAAAGAAGACTTACCACGCTAAAAGTTACAAATCCGTACTTAAGATAATGGTCATTTTTATACTACTTGTGCACTGAACAAGACACTGCAAGATGGTACAAATTCATAACCCACAACTTCTGGACATCCAAACCTTAACTGAGGTCACAAGAGGTCAAAGAATCCACTCCAGTAACGCTAAGTTTTTCTTACAAAGAAAAATCTTTTCCTCTGTTAACAAGCCACCAGTTGGGAGGCTAAACAGTAAGCAACCAAAGCTTTGTCTCTTCTATGACAATTTCAATCTGTAAACTAAGGACCATAAAATAGGTTACATTATTAATTACTTAGATTCAGAAGACCTTTCTCTTCTCTCAGAAGGAGCAGAAACAGCAACCAAAATACTCATGGGGTTGGGGGAGAGGGAGGACAACTGGAGCTGGATGAACAATGGCAATCTCACTTCCATCTACATCACCTTGATATGTACTCTTCCAACACCAACAAACCTGATGTCCACCAACAGCAATCAGAACTTGCTACCTTGTGAAACTGTAAAAGATTTTGTTAGTATTTACAGAATGTAACTGAATAGAAGTGACCTTCAAAGATATTTAAAAACAGACAGGAAAACTGAAGCCAAACATTAAATCTTGAAGTTACCCATTTCTAAGTAAAATAAAGTCTTTAAAAGGAAGGGGAGGAACACATCAACAGTTTTCCAGAGGCATTCAACAAAAATACTTGTAAGACATGAACAAGTTATTACACCTTGTTTCCAAAAAAAACCAAAATTTTTCATCACTATATACAGACTTACCGATACAAATGGCCATCATCTTGGAAGTCCTCTTTACCCCACCTTCCTTTAATGTCTTCGATAACATGGTTTTTCAGGAACTTTTTAAGCAGCTTAACTGTTTGATCGCGAGTCACCTCTGGGCCAAAATTTTGATTAGAGCCGAGTAGCTCATGCAAAATATCCACCGCCTCCGAAGCTTTGAAGCAACGCTCGTAGCTTTTGAAACGACAGCGGTGCTTCCGTACGGGCATCCCGGCACGGAAGAGTTCTATTATCTCGTTCCACTAAGGGAGGAGAACAAAATCCGTTACGGGAACTCTGCTCCCAGGAGCATTTTGGCTCTATAAGCGCGATCAGAAAGCAAAAACTTGAAACCCTGAAAGCAGAGCTACACAATTTTCTCGCAAATCTGCGTTTGCGAGAACACTGAAAGATAAATCCAGGAGTTAGACTCTCCAGACCTGAAAACAAACACAGGTCTAGGAAGCTGAAATATTTAGAGCCTCATATATCTGCCGCCCTACAGACACGGCCTTTTAAGCTCCCTTAGGCGGGACAAAAGGCTGGACCTGCCGCGCCGCTCCGCGGCGCCTGCACTGGGCGCCCCCGCCCCGCACGGAGCCAGCCTGGCAGCAGCGGCCGGCACCCAGAAGAATGGAGAGGGAGCAGCCGTGGGCGCAGAGCAGTCCCGGGGGCAGAGCTGCCGGGGGGCAGCGGGGCACTCACCAGGCGTGTGGCGCGGTAAGGGCCGGGCCCCACCAGCCGCGGCTCCATCGGGGAGGCCGCGCCGGCTCCGCGCCGCGTTTGAATCCTTGCCGGGCCGCGTCGCCTCCGCCCATTGGCTGGCGGCGGCGTCAAGTGAGGCGCCTGCGCCACCTCTGATTGGCGAGCCCGGGATGACGGCGCGGGACGAGAGGCCGGGCGGGAGCGGCGGCGGCACCGCCCCGAGGGCGGGTCTGCGGAGCTGGGCTCGGGTTTAAACCCAGCCTTACCTCAGCAATGTACAGCAGTACTTGAAGAGAGGGTGCCTAGAGGATGGAGCCAGGCTCTTCTCCGTGGTGCTGAGCAATAGGACAGGAGACAATTAACAGAAACTGATGCACAGGAAGTTTCACCTGAATATGGGGAAAAACTTCATTACTGTGCGGTTGACCACGCACTGGAACAGATTGACCAGAGAGGGTGTGGAGTCTCCCTCACTGGAGATACCCAAGAATTGTCTGGATGCAATCCTGTCCCATGTGCTCTAGGATGACCCTGCTGGACCAGATGACCCACTGTGGTACCTTCCAACCTGACTCATTCTGTGAGTGGCAATGGGTCAAACCATGTCACTGAAACACTGGCCCGTGAATTACCACCCAGATAAAGATAACACAACCTTGGCATTAACTAAACAATCAAACAAAACAAAACCAAAAAAATCAAACAAAAAAACCCCCGACATTTTTCAATGTTTTCAGGTTGTCTCCAATCATATTTTTTGATCAAAAATTTTGTTTTGAATTCAGGCTGTACATGGGATAATTATTACTTACAATTATATTTTAAATTATTCATACAGAAGACAGGGATTGATGTTGGTGTCACAGAGCTCATTGAGTTGTTTTATATTAGCTTTTTGTGAACATTGTAAAGAAAGGATGATTTGGAAAATAAATAGGAAACTTGTTTTAAGGTATGAAATTCTGATAGGAGGTCAGCTCTGCTGCAGGGACAGGGATATAACTGAAATCCCTGTGATACCTATTACAGATGAGCTATCTGTCAATTTTTAGGACTCCCACAGATGAGGAGTGGCTGCTAACACTAGTGTTTCACCTCCACCAAGTTTAAGGAAAATAAAATTCCCCTCTCAACATTGACTGTAACATGCACTTCTCTTTCTAACCTAACTCAAATGTATGATACACTTAAGCATGTAAGATGCACAACTTTTAGGTCTGGATCGAGTTTGTGTAATTCTCACATTGTGTGTAAGCGGACAGCATTTAATAACATTTTGTACTGATGTCATTGGCATAGTTACACTTTATGCATCCTCTTAGGATACATCCATACAACTCACTGAAACAATGTATTCTCTTTCTCCAAATGCTTCATAACTCACAAAAAACTAAACCATTGTGCAGGAAATTATGCAGCATGAATCTGACGTGGCACTTACTGACAGCCCACAGAATGATTAGCATCTCCAGTTTCTGCTCCTGCTTATTTGTTTGTCATCTCAACTAACTCTGGAAGAATTTGGCTACTGTACAACTGCTAGAATTGGAAGTTTTTTCTGACTCCTTTCTGTTCAGCATCTGTCCACATGCAGTGCTCCTTAGTTTTGACCATGTACAGTCTCAGGTACTACTTAAGCCCACATGAGAGAGATTCTGTGATAAAGCACCTTTCCACATGTACTGCCAAGGAGCCGAGAACTCAGCACTGATGATTCTAGGATCAAGCATCTGAAATTCAGGGGTCCCAATACAGATTTCAAGTCATCCAAATACTTTCTGAGATCTACTTTCGAACTGTCATGAGAGCTGACAGCTACAGGGATTAAACAGTGGAAAAATATAAACTTTTTTTTTAATTTTTTTTATAAAGAAGACTCAATGTAATCTCAAAAAAAACATTTGCAACTCATGCCTATGATAAAGTTTTAATTCTTTTAGTATTTATAATGCACCATAAAAGTCAATAAAATAAAAGTGTTCAGGTAACAAAAGTTGTTCCCTCGGTATTGTACAAGAGGGAGGCTATTAAAACCTGCCTCAAAGCTTTGAGTATTTGAAAATCCCACAGACCTGATCAAGCACAAAGCAAATATTGCAAGCTTCTTTTCTTTAGTGTTAAACATAATAGAAAACAGTACTTTTAAAGGTAACATTAATTTAAACACCTTTAACTCCTCATTTGCAGGTCTGTTGTGTGCATCAATCCTTTAATAAATTCACGCAGTACAAATGCAACTTACATACAACAGCTAGTTCCTTTAACTTCTATACATGTGTGACCCTAACCTGGGTCTGCCTAGCCATGGAAATAAAACATACTCGTTAATTCCACACAGATTGGAGTCATGCCCAGTCACCACTGCCTGACCCACTCTCAGAAGCCAGAGAATGTCACATATTTTTTTTGCCCGGTTCTGGACAAAGTAACTGATGCTATTAATGGAATAACTTTAACCTTGAGTTGATAAGAACAAGCAATTATAATAATGAAAAAAAACAACACAAACTCTTTCTAGGCATGTATTTCAATAGATAATGGAAATGGAAGAGAGTAGAGCACAGTACAATCATGTCAGGCAACATTCAAGCTTCAATCAAAAAAATTCCTTTTTTTAATTTTATTTAAGTGCTAAGATTTTGGCTATTACAAGACTCAGTAATCCCCTTACCCCCTCCCACAAACAGCATATGCTATCAATATAAAATATATCCATAGATACATTGAATAATAAGTATATTAGGCTACTACAGTGAACAAATCAGTAAGATGTTTTGATCACTACAAGATCGCTACAAGACAATTCAGATAATCCCCATATTAGTAGCTTTCCAACATTTACGATAATGTCCAACTGAGTAGAACATGAAATGAATTAAGTTCTCTTAGTAAAAGACAGTGTATCGAAAAATCTGATCTTCAAATGAAACACCATGCCTTGACAGATCAACACACAATCCTTCCTTTAAAGTAATACAGTTTATAAACAGATATAACAATGTTTATGTATTGACTATATTAATAAGCTTTAAACAGTACTTACTGAAGATTCTTTTAATGCTGCTGACAGTCTCAGCAGCTTACAACATTAAGGTGAAGTGATTTTTATCCCCCTCAGTGTTCAAAGTACTCAGTACTTTTCATGCACATTTTAATGTTCCTAATTATTATCTTTATTTTCATGCATTTCCTAGATAGATATCATCTATCCTCTTTTTTTTTTTCAGAGATCCACAGTGATCCCCTCAGCCCCCATATTCTGAATCTCAAATAACTTACGGTAAAAATACAAATTCTGTTCTGGAAGAAAACATACAAAATATACACCAGGTAGTGTGCGCACCTAAATATCTTGATTGTCAAGTAGTGCAAGTTTCCGCTTTGATGTATATACTTTTTGGTTTTAGAGAAAAGAATTTGTTTTACTGATCTTTGTGGATCCCATTTCTTGCCATTTTTGGTAGTCTTTGTCCCTTCGTGTAAGCGTGGTACCAGAAGTGCAGAAACAAGACTAAAAACATAGAGCCATACAGCCAAATAATAAACATGAAAATTGGATACTGGTACGGACAATCATCCATGATGTAGATTTGTCCTATATGAACTGTAATCATAATAAACTGGACCTGGAGGGAAAAGGTGAAGAAAAGAAGTACTTTTTAAATAAATGACAGACTTACTATAGAAGTTTAAAAAAATTCAGCATAACTTGTATGCAGAAAAACAGATAGGAGGCATGGAGCCAGGGTAAAGTGGGGAGCAACAGGGACACCAACACAACTTCTTAATATGACAGAGATCACCTTTACAGCCCCTCTCCAAAAACCTTACTCCACTGAAAAACAGTTTTACAGAGAAAAGGCAGAAAAGTCCTGGGACAAATTGAATTACAAGCAGCACAGAGAAACTCATAGCAGGAGAATGAGATTCTACCCTGGCCAGTTCAGAGAAGAAGGAAGGAGGCAAACAGTGTTTCACCAGTGACAAATGGGAGGTTCCTTTAGAGAAATTAGCCGGGGGGGGGGGGGGGGGGGGGGGGGGGGGGGGGGGAAGAAAGGGCAACCATTACAGGGCTTGGGAATATGAATTCCCACCTTCCCTGCACACTAGCATGTGACAAAAAAGTATTCCACATGAACTCCAAGTTAATAGTCCACTGGTAGTGCCTCCAAGACAAAAAGACTGAGTTATAAATATTCAAGCTACACTGTTCAGAGTTGCACATGGTTACATGAACTATTCTATTAACATCAGCCCTAGGTGCAAGCAGACAGGGTGCTCCTTTCCCTCCTCCATTAGCATCCTTGCTCATGATAAGCAAATTGTTTAGCCAGGAGCTGAATTTCGAAAATCCAGCTGTTAAAAAACACGGGCATCAAAAAATCACCCAGAACCATAACCTTTCAAAAGTGATATAAAACTGATAAACACAGTGTAATTACTACAGGAGCATTTTGTAATGCTCTGGGGTAAAGAGAGGACCCTGACATTAGCTCAGCTGGTTAGAGCATGGTGCTACTAACACCAAGATTGTGGGTTTGATCCCAGTGTGGGCCATTCATTTAAGAGTTGGACTCCATGAGCCTTGTGGGTCTCTTCCAACTCAGATTATTCTTTGATTCAGTGACTAAATTCTCTAAACATAAACACTTTCTACGAAAGAACAGACATGAAATTCAAAAGAAATATTTTTCCCTTTCCTCACTACTAGTTACATATGTATTCTGTACATTGATTGTATTTTCTTGGTATAAACTTACGTTTTAATAATTTTTATACAAGTAATGAGTTTTGTAAGTATATTTACCAAGTATTGCATAACTGAAAAGCTCATGTGTCTACACCATTCTTATAGTGAATGCTGAAGTCAGCAGATTTAAGTATATAACTGGAGAGCTCACACCTTTTGTTTTCCTCAATTAAAACATAAATCTTGTACCAACTGTAACCTACACACATGAACATAAATAACTAAAAGTACAAATTTATTGCATTAAGTCTGTGTCAGCCACAATCACATTTTTGAGAGTTGTATCTGTCAAAAGCAGTTACTCACAAGTTGTATAGTTGTCATGTACTTTTTCCACCACAAATATTTATGGTAGGCTGGTCCCAAAGAACAGATTCCATAATAAGTATACATGACAACATGGACAATACAGTTCAACAAAGCATGAAATGTTCCCAAACCACCTGTAGAAAAACAAAACATAGTAGTATTGCATCAGGTATTTAAAAAGCCACCTCAGGTCCTAGCAGATATTTTGAGTAAGAGTAGGAAAAACATGTACCAAAAAAACTAGATTTTAACTAATCCTCAAGGTATTTAACCTGAATTGGGTTGATATCAGTTCTGAGGGATATCAGTTTGCTGTCTCAGAAACAGCTTCAGCATGTCAATGAATGCAAAAAGTTAGAGCTAAAAGTGATCCAAGAAGCAGTAGACAGCAAAGTATACTTTTAAGAGAAATATGAACATGAAACTACTGAGCATAAAAGAAAAAATTACATAAAAGGAAAGATTTAGTGAGGGAAAAGAGTGCTATTTTCCCATTAAGAATCATTCCAATTAAAAATAAAACATTTTGTGTTTTTAGTAGCTCACACTACTCTTCCAGCTTGATAGAGCATAACTCCTCCAGCTGTGATTGCAAACTTTCTTTGAAACTTAACTATTTGTATTTTCTAAAATAATTTGAGTGTTCTTACAGTTCAAACATACATACTTTTTTTGGCTTGCACAGTGAATATTCAGAAGAAAAAATAAATAGTTAAAGCAGAGAAAAAAAGAAAAGAACAACCTAATCAACAGTGCAAAAACATGCTCCAAAAAGCAACACTATACTAAGCACCATGTTACAATTCTCTATTTATATCCGATCCCAGAATCAGCATCTCCATCCAAACCTATTGTTTTTTTTAAAAACAGGTTGAAAACTTGATAGATGTTGCTATTCAGAAAGACAAACACTGATGAAACTGAATACAAGGTAATCATCAGCAGGACTGAAATTCTTGAAAAAATTTTAAGTTATCAAACAGAAAAATACTTAGAAAGGTAAGTGTAAAGATAAGCAATAGAGTTTTTGGAGTAAACACAGCTCTGCATGAATATGAGAAACTATTTCTAGCAGAGAACAAAACAATTCTTGCACACTTTGCTGGAAGTATTTGTCAAGTTATCATATGGGAAATTTGAATCTTATGCAAAATCAGAAGCCTGTAGCTGGTATACTGATCCAACATCCAGATAAAAGGTAGAAAGTTAATCACCTATTAAATGGAAAATTTTCAAGGTTGAAGAGGAGGGACAGCTATTTGCTGCAGGTTTTCTTTTGCAAACCTATTAACACACTGAGGTGTATGCTGAGAAAACTACTCACAATTAACTTAATACCAGTTACTCAGAAATATTTGAGAATTACACAGTCAATTCACCAGTTTCCTAATAACAGAAACTCAACAAATGCAGTAGTTATACACTAGTAAAAGCTGCACACTGGACAGATTCAATAGATCCCATCTGCACATTTTCTGGACTACTTCAAGGTCTTGGTTTTGTATTCATAAAACAGACTCTAACAGATCAGATTAATAAGCAATGGTTCTCTTCATCAATCCATCACCAATGTTCTGGGACAAAAAAATCCAAAATACGCTGTCAGGAAACATAAGGGAATAAACATGTATAACCCCCTCCATTTCTCAGTAAAAGCTCCTAAAAAGGCCTAAACTGTCCCAGAAATTGACTAATAATTGACTGTGTATTTCTCCACTCTGTTCTTATCAGACTATTGTCATGGCAAGCTGTATTTATTAGTGGTGCATACTAATAATATAACATAAGAAGATGCATGCAGAGATACACAGAGCAGAAAAGGAGAAAGTGAAGGTAGGTTGGTAGTGGACAAAGAATTTTAATTCCGTACAATTCAAATACGTTTCTTTAATAAAGAAAGTCTAGAAAAATATTTCTGTAGCTTTGTGAAAGCCAAAATATTATATGTAAATAAACCCCATTCACACTACCTAAAGCCAGTAAAAGTAACTGCAACAAAGACTGAATAATTTTTCAAGCAGAGTCCCCCCCCCAACTCAGTTCTAACATTTCAGGAGGACAAACGGTTTTGAAGTAGTTTCGACAGTTATTTGCCTCATGTATCTCCTCCAGCACTTCTGATTTTACAATCACTTGCCTTTTTCATGTAATAATGCTTTTTGCTTATATACAGCTCTCTCCTCTGCATCTTTTCCCCCCATAAGAAATCAGCACTGCACAAAATGCTGTCAAATAGGAAAAATGAGTAGTCCCCAACCTTTCAAATAATTATGGTGATCTCAGTTGTTCCATAAAATACTGCAGAAATCTAAATTTAAAAACACGGATGTTTGCAAGATGTTTAATTCTGTTCTTCTTTTTTTGTCTACCATAGTTAACTTTTACTACCAGAAGATATGTTCAACTCAAACTCAACTCTCTCTCCACTACCTGCAGCAAATTTGACTCCAAACCACCAGGTCCATGGCATGATGGAATGATGAAAGACATGCAGGAATGTAACTTGGTTGTTTTTCTTACGCAGCACAAAAAATATCTGAAACAGATTTTTAATGAACAGGATGTTACAGAAAATAATCAAGCCCAACATACTTAAAGAAAACTGTATGTATCAGTGCTGGTTGCTCACAACTATACATTTAAGAGTACTTTCAAATTGCAGTCTTGGGAGAAGAAGGAAAACTGAAAGTCTAGATATGCAGATTAGTTTTCAAAAAAAATTAAAACCAGTATGTAAAATCCACCTGAGAAGCCAGTGCAAGCTTTGAAATGAAATGTTCAAGGCTGAGCCATCACCTACATGTGCAACAAGAGTGTAAGATGGACTTGGTTGGATTGAGAAGTCTTTAGAAGCACCAGATTTTAAATCCTCTGAACTATTAATGAAATGCCATTTGAGAAAATTAACTGAAGGATTAGCAACAGATAGAGATAGTAGAAAATAATAGAGAAATAGCACTTTATTATGAACATTGAACAAGCCACCCTTGGAAAACAGCAAAACTGGACAGAGTATATGTAGGTACACTTAACTGATATTGATAGGCCACATTTTAAAGGACAGACATTGAGGGAAGTGTTAAGGGAAGACAGAGGAAGAAAACTCTGTAAAGAGAAGTCAGGTCATGCAAAGAGTAGTATCAGATGGCAAGCAAATAAACACAGAAAAGAAGTCTAGTTTGCTGGGGAAAACATTTGGAATCAGCAGATTTAAATACAGCTAAGAAATTACTTTTGCAATAAAAGCAAAAAGCTGATGAAAAACAGGTACCTAGTTGTGTGGATTCAAACAAAGTAAAATAAAAAAAAAACCTTCAGGCTCAAGACTAATTAAAAAGGAGCACTCTAACCTGTGGGGAATAAAGGCAAATAGAGGAACGAGCTTGTCGGGATTTTCCAGTTTTAGCATTCCTGACCCTTCCATTACCATTCCATTTGGTTTAATCAGTAAGATCTTCCAGTGTTGCATCATGAGCATTTGTAGAATGAAAGTCAGATGGCTAACTTTGCTCAAAGAGTGTAGAACATCCTCACTGTTCATGAGTCAATTCCTGAACCACCACTATCGGTAGCAAATAGAACTGCAGATGATTTCAGCACTCGGAAGCTGGTTTGAAAATATCTAAGCCAATCCTACATGATGTCAGTCTTGGAAAGAGAGAAAGGCAGATGACTGCTGATGGTAAGCAAGGTCTGCATTCTGCTTCAATGCATTGCTGTTCAGACTTTCTTTGCAAAAGGGTAGAGTGTCAGCCTGACATCAAACACCTCCATAATCATGACCCCTCAAGGCAATCCCAGAAATTTAGAGAAGGTAGGTATGGCAATTTTGTGCTGTATTCAGAGCTGATGATGATAATATTCTGAATGAAAAAGATAAAATCTGAATATGATATGAAAAAATATATTCACTATAATCACCTCTTTTTTATCTGCAGTGTTGAGACAAGCATTGCCATAGCATAACAGGTTAGTGTATTCAGCTGTTAAACAGGCAATTTATCTGGTCTTCCTAAATTTTTAAAGCTATATTCTCTCATTAATATTTTTCCTGATAATCAAGGAATGACAGTGTAATAGAACAATCAGATGAGTTAATAAGGGTAAACATCTGGATGGTATTCTAATGATTGAAGACTGGAGGACTAACTAAAAAGCAATTTATACCCCCAGTGCTCAACAGCACTGGTCCTTCTACTGTGGAAACATCACTATTTCTTTTATTAGGCTAAAGTACTTACAGTATCTAATAATTCAATGAACTTGGAAAAGAAGTAAAGCCAACAAGTTCGCACCATCTGCAAGAGTACAAAAAAAAACCCCTGTCAAATCATAATAGTCATAAACAAAATTAAGCAGCTGCAGGACAAATAAATATATATAGGAAAGTAAATAAATATATAAAGGAAAGCATCGGGTTAAGTGGTGTCCCAAAGCTGACAGAAATATTTAAGTGTATGGTTTTTTTGGTTTTTCTTTAAAAACACAAAACATTTTTAAATCCTGAAGGAATTTTAAAACCAAGAAGAACAAGCAACAAATTCATTGGCTCTTTCTTTGTCCCAACCAACCAACCCCTCCAGTTATCTCACATGCTCTACATTATGTAAAAGGGCATTTCCACATAGTGCATTTCACTCTACAGCAGTGCATTCAAAAAAAGCAGGCTGTTCAAAAAGCATTTCTAAAAATAAAGTCAGTGCATAACAAGACTACTTTGAACGACCTGATCTAGAAGAAGATGTCCTTGCTCATGGCATGGAGGTTGGAACTAGAGGATCTTCAAGGTCACTTCCAACCCAAACCATTCTATGGTTCTCTGATAATAATTCAGCTTTGTGTTTGGCAACTTACCCTTAGAGCTGTTGGTGACCTTGAGTAGTCAACAATATCACACCGGAACGAGTACCCTGTGGCCCAACCCGACATAAGAAACTGGAGCAAAGAAAAGGGAAAGGGCAAAAATTTACTTCCTTTGAAAAATTCATTAATTTTGGATTATTTTTGCAAACACTAAGCAGGAGAGGAAAAACAATATTAAAAACATGTCAAATAAGTTACTTTGTCAATCATCTACCTCTGCGTGGGATAACTACCACAAAATCCTTTGCTGTTGCAGATTAATGAATTCCTCACTCCAAGACCACACCTGTAGACAGGAATTTTCTTCCTACACTCATTATTTCAGCATTAGTAACTGAAGAGGAGAAACAGCTTCACCTCAAAACTAATGCTAAAAACCAACTGTGTAAATCAGACCACAAAACCATAGCTAACCATCTTAATACTGAAAAGAATCCAACACAGCATCTTAATACTCTAACGAAATTAGCACTATAAAAAACTATAATTGCTAATTATCATTAAAGACAAGGAACAAATCCATATGCAGAATACATATTTAATATCATAGTTTCTAAAATTTTTCCTTAGTTAAACTGAGTGATTCAGTTGGTCTTTCAGTGATAAAAGTGATGAGAAGCTACAATAAGAACACACACATGACCAAAGGACTGTATGTACCAAATATCATTTAATCTTTTCTCTTTGAATATATTAAATAATATATATAATATAATAATATAATAAATCTATTTGGACATGAGCAACATTATTAATATTACACTTGGCTCATTCCACTGCCAGCTCCTATGACTACTGTATTTTATATCTGTTTATAAAGTGCTTCTCATCATCACTATCCTCTCACGCATGCTAAGAGGTTCAACTCCCTTAACAAATGCAGGAGTTTAGTCTTTTTAACTTCCTAAAAGAACTGGTTGCTTAAAGAAAATAAGTTCTGGAACACCACCAAGACAGCACAGTACTAACTCACCCACCAAATTACTTGGTTCCAAAGAGGGAAAGAATCAGCTTCTTGGTGACTACCAGACAATAGCAGAAATTCAATCTGTTACACTCTGTCCATGATTCTTTCATGAAATTGTAACATGGAAGTCTTGATAGCAGACTAATTGAATACTGTGGTAATGTCAGACACTAACAGAAGTTTTTTGGGTTTTTTTTTTTGTTTGATTGTTTCTTTGTGGGGGTTTTGGGGGGTTTTTTTTGAGGATTATAACCAAAACGGGAACGAAATTTTAAAAGGAAGTTTGGCAATTTTTCAAAGTGATGTTTAAATAGCAAAAGCATCTTACCCACCACTTTCCACACTGCAATCATATCACAAAGTAGCTGTTGCTGCACTGCCTTTAGAGTGGTTCGAAGAAATGTCAAGTAGTTCATTGTAACTCCTGATGACATTCATGCAAATTGATCTACAAGAAACATGTACTACCAATTTGGCACAATAATCTGAATTTTTTCAAGAATCACTAGTTTAGCATACTGCTTGGAGGAATATAATTACAACCATCGGAATAATATTTTTTTGATAACTGCAGAGTGGGAGTTATCTTAATAGACTTATTAAAAGTTAGTAGATAGAGACATGAAATATATAAATACATTACAACCAAAAGTAGCACTTACTTCATAAGTCATATATAAAGAGAGGACTACCACACTAAAATTGTAAAAGGTCATTATCTGCCTGAGTTCAAAAGGTTTTTTATTTTCCATGAGTTTGGGTCCCAAGGAAGTGACAAAATAAATGTAGGTTCCAATGATAAAGGTTGTTGGAAAAGGTGAAGACATGAGTGGCCAGCCTTCCAGTCTTGGATCTAGAGGGGGAGGAGAGAAAAAATTAAATCGGATGTCTACAGTACTTATTAAAACAGTTACAGAAAAGTATTTAATTCCTAATGGTTTATGTTTTCCTGTCAAACCAATCATGTTTCAGAGTCTATTCACCTCAAATCCATACTGACTGGATAATAAGATTGAGGACCTGTATGTTTCAATGCTTTTTTTCTGCATCAATACTTCACAGATAATGAAAAGGAGACAGAATCATGAGTGATGTGACCTTCTGTCTCTACAGTACCATAAAAAACACACTTTCATATTAGAAGGAAGTTGTAATATATCAAGCAAGTATTGCGTGTTCCTTTCCAGTTATCCCAGAGAGATATATTGCAGAGACACCTCCTTATATGCACACCTCATTCCCTCTCCCTACAGCTGAGGCTGGCAGGCATTCCATCCAAGCATCACCATGACTCCACTGAACCCTTCTGGGGTTCATCACCAAGTCCCAGCTCAGCAAAGACTTCCACATTTCTCCATAAGCAGGAGAACTGACACAAGCTTCATGTATTTTTTTAAATTTTTATTTGATTTGACTTTTATATACCGACTTCAGGAAGATTTGTTTCAGAATGATCCCAAACTTAAATACTGACTCAGTAAACTGCTGTTTTCATGGCTTGCTGCTGTATTTCAAGAGTGAAATTATACTATTGCAATTTTTGTCAAGTGTAATTCATAGGCAAACACTTTAAGACGGCAAATTTTCAACTCACAGCATTCAAGCAACCTATCACCCATGAGACCCTCTGATGTGGTTTACAGCCACTGGAAGTGTAAAAACAGATTGAGGAGGAAAGCACATTATAATGCTGCTCACAGTTTGTAATGTGCCAGTGCTGCTGCTCACAGACCAACAAGGACTGTGAACCACAGCGCTCGGCATCTGCCTCTGTGCACTGCAAGAGAATCACCAGCTCTTTACAACTGACTGCTCTTTCTACATCCACTCTTGCACTGCTCCTACCAAACCTTTCCTATTGTTCTTCCCAGCTTGATCCTGAGGAAACCATGTTCCACCACTAACAGTGTGCTACCAAATGCCAAATGTAAGCACTGGTGGGCAGGGAGACAAGGAACTCATGTTCTGAAGTCATGGACACTGCAGCAGAAACACTTCCTTCATCATCCAGCTCCATCCCAATCCATTTCACCTCACCAGCCATACTGATTAAACTCCCTTCTTGTTTGCATGCTGTGCTTTTAAAGAACAAGAGAAAAGGTGCTCAGCTATGCTGAAAAAGATAATCAGTAATCTTATCTATCAAACTTCAACCGCTTCTCAAATTTTTCCCAGGAATCGGCTAATTCCTGTCACTATGTGATTACTGCAGTAAGAAACACTGAGATAGATGGGTCTTAACTCCAAAATTGAGATATTCTGTCAGTTTTTGGTAAACATACAGAACAACAATATAAAATCAAGGCTTGTTTAATATCCCTTACTAGCTGCAACAAGAAACTGACATTCCTTTTCAAAATAGAGCTGTGACAGAGTTAATTACTCTGAGGATTAATTTCAAAACACTGAAACTTACCAGACTTTGTTAGTTTTTTTCACTTTGCAAAAGCAAAATACAGTAACACCATGAGCCTGCATTAATTAACCCATAAAATCCAATTGTTTGATATTGAAAAAGAGTTAAAACTTTATATTCAGCAGCACAGGAGAAATGTAAACTATATATTTAGGCAAGCCAATAACACAGAAAAATCACTGTCTGCACTTTATTTACTGAGAGTTCATACTCACAAACTACCTAAGTTTTGCTTATTTCCTATTTTAAAATGCAGAAATAGTTTGCAATGTCAAAAGGTAACTGGCAAGTTTTACAAAAATTTATAGGATGACAAAGCTATTTTTAAGTTGGTCAACAGCACGTTGCTATTCAAAATTATTGGCAGATTTAAATTACTCACCAGCATCTTTAATCCATTCATCATAGAGTAGTACAGCCTTTGAAGTCAGATTGCTAAGGGCCATTTTCACTTGATAAAGATTTTATGATGCTGCCTGCAGGAAAACAAACCAAAACAGAAATATGGATTTCTGTCAATAAAACAGAGATCAGTAAAGTTTTATGGAAAATATTTTCAAGAAACAGAATAGTGAAAAACAGAGAGGGCTAACAGAGCACCACATGTGAAATACAGATCAGGAAGCGTTAGCTGACCACATCCCACTATCCTTGGGTCTAATTTATAGCTGAGCTGTTATCCACGACAATATGATTTTGCAATCTATACATACAAACCAGGTGCTTACGTGCCATAAAGTTTATCTCGAGAAACCATGCTGTGGTTAACCATTACAGTTAAGGGACAAATATGAATGAACAGTAGATACTTAAATTCATTTTTATTACCATCTCCACTTAAAGTCCAAGTCACTGATATGTGGAGTTCAGCTTTGCAGCATTTATTATTGAAAAATAATATTAATTTTCTAAGAAGTATTTCTAAGGTAGGTGGGAAGGAGAAAACCTACCAATATGTCAGCATATTCCTTTTAAATACAATAATTAGCTATGTTATAATTAGTGTGCAAATCCCACTCTGACGAATCAACTGTTTCCACATCAGGATAGTGGAATGTCACAGTACAAGTGGTAATATCATTAACTCACAAAAATTATCCAGCACCTCCACTCTGCATGCAGCACCTCCCACATATGTAAAATTTTTCCAAGTATGCTTATATGAATACTCTTTTTTTTCTCCACCATGAAGTACTTACCAGCTCTTCCCTTGTCTCATCCCCTCTAGAAAATACCTTTTAAAAACTCCAGCACATTTAAAGGGTGTCTCTCCTATTCCCACTGAGTGTCTCACTTTACTATACAATTTCTCTCCATAACCCTGAGCAATCTTCACACTATATTCACCTTTATTAGTTCAGGCTGCACCACACCTTGATAACAAGCTCCCTTCCTCTGGCAGCCCTTCTGCATCTCCTCCAGGCTAACCAGCTGCAGGTTTGGAGAGCTGGTTCTGCCCTCAAGATCATAATGCATCCTCACGTCTTCCCATTATCATCTTCTCATTTGTTCTCACCATAACAGTTCTGAAAAATAATATCACCCACATCTCCACTTCTACAAGTTCCTGTTCACTGCCATTTCACAGGAGTTTTTAGCCATTATACCCACCCTTCATCACAAGATCCAACACAGATAAGACTACCTTCATTAGAGTTCATTTGATCTACTTTGTCCCAGTTCTCGTTTTGCTACCCACTTGTTTCCCTGCTTGCAATTCTGTCCTATGCCCCTGAATATCTGAAACCACTATCAATTTCACATTTGGAAAATATTCCCTCTGCAAGTCTCTTTGAAGTTCACATTTTCTAGAAGTATCATCCTCCAGTATCAGCATTTCCCAACTCAACGTCATTGCCTTTGTGCTGACCATTTTCACATACCCTACACTCATATTACAATGTTTGCTTCAAAGATCTATATTTATAAAGATGCTTGCAAGATCGGAAGTAGGGGGCATCCTCTTCCTTTTCTAATGGAAACCAAAAGGGTCCTCTTCCATTTGGCACTAGCAATCAAATGATCGAAAAGATTTTATGGTTACAGGCGAACTATAAATATTATTGCCATCTTGCTCCATAAGCCACACTATTGATGACATCAAAAATGCATAAATTCAACCCTGTCTTGAACACCAGGTACTTTAGACTGCCCAACTGTGACAGCCAGGCAATTCAGCTGTAACTGGTGCTGAGGAGGAAGCATTAATAAAACCTTTACTTCATAAATAATCACTGTAATTAAATGTTTAGACTGATTACCTAAAAAAGTTATCCTTTTAGTCCAGTATTCTTTCCATTTCAGATGTACTAGAACAGTCTATCCAGAGACAAGGCATTGCAAACTAAAGGTATTTCATTCAGCAGTTACAGTAAAATTCTACCAAAGCCTACAGACACCTTGTGCACAGTATGGCTCAGTTTTTCAACAAATATATTCAGTGAATACAAATAATCACATTATATTTAACTGGTTCTTCAATAAGAAAAATAGTTTACTGATTTTACTGCTACTCATGCTAGTTTTCCCACCCTCATACTACTGGAACTCAGACTGGTTAGTTCAACATGTTGACCAAGACTAAAGTTATACAAGTATCTACTTCTTAAAAACATGTTCTCAAAAATTCAGAAAATTCAGTGTAGATGTTGGCTCTAAATTAATTGGCATTTAATATTGCCATTTACCTTGTTCCACCTCTCCTGAGCCCCCACCTCTCCTGCAACTCCACTTGCAGCTCCTCTCCCTTTAAAACATTCCACAAGAGCTAAGACAGCAAAGGCTCCAAGCCTTCAAGGTTCATTTTCTGTTCATAGCCAAGCAAGATACAACTGCAGTTGCCAAAGTTATTCGGAAAGTTCAATAACTATACTTGAGAGAAGGATGTACCAGGCAGAAATCAGCCACACAATAGTGACTGATCAATTAATCTGAACCTAAAAGTAAGCAAAATTTAGTAAGTTAAACCCAATTATTTTAAGAGTAGAAATAAAGTGTGCAAGAAAGACCATGCTGTTCAAAACTTTCCTATGGTTAAAAGATTTAAAACCAACTTTCATATATGACATTATTACTTTGCTTTCAATGTGCTTTAACTAGCTACTTTCTTAACTAGCTACTCAGTTTTCCTTTGTAAATCCATTTCTATGAACAATAGTTTACATTAATGTTAGGTTTTGAGGATAAGTTGTTTGTTTACAACCTACAAAAGTAGGGTTAATGGCAGCATGGAAGATATTTTGCCTTATCCTTTTACATGTAGTTCACAAGCAAATTCATATGCACTGGAAAATAACACGATCAAGGCTTGGTTTTGTTGTTTGTTTTTTTTTTTTAATAGAAGAGTTCAAAAACGAAAACCACATACCCACACACAAGATAAACAACTTGCTTGTGCTTCACCAAGAAAAAACAAACCATTTTTGAAAGACTGTTTTTTTTATAGTACAGCTGTTGTTAAGAAGTAACTTATAATGCTTTGACCATAATACAATCTTCCAAAAAGTTTGGCAGTTTTGAAGGCTACAGAACTTCTAAATGCGAGACTGGAAAGAGTTTGCCTGAAGGGACAAAGACTTGGGGCCAGAGAAGGCCATTTGTTAAATACACAGCTTTAGTTCTTCATGCTATAAACTCATCTGCCCATTAAGCATTTGTACAGCCACAGTTCAGTCAGGAAAATGTACATTTGGTTTACATACCTGCTAAAGTACTTACAGAATCAGCACATCAGCACTTTTATTTCCAATGTTCCACTTTGTGCTCATGTCAAAATTGTGCCATAAAATGCACAGCTGAGTGTCTACTTTGTAGCAAACCCTCTCAATATTAGGTAAGTCACATTAGCAAACTCATTTTCAAAATTAGGTTATTTTAAATGACATATTGCAAGCTACTTACATAAATTTAAAAATGCAGTCATATAAGTAGTCTGCCCACCTTGAAAAGTTTTAAATAACATAAAGTCAGTCCTCTCAAACACGTGCATTTGAAAAACAAGCACCAAAATCACCTCAAAAACATATTCAAGGTACTCAGCTCTTCAAAAGAAATAAGCGCATTTTCTGGTTTTGTCAATGGAGATAATATTGTGCACCTAGGTTCCAGCCAGCTGTACTAGCACAATTTCTGAAGATATCTTTAAACAAATGTGCCCTCCACCGCTTCAAAAATAGGAGGTATGAGGCAAAAGAGAAAAAGGGCTATGTTAAAAGAGCAAAGTAACTTGCTGTCCTCTGGTCCCCTGCAGCTCAGCAGACAGGTGGATAAGCCCACTAATTGCAGCTGAGTTTAAGCATACAGCTTGGCAGAACCAATTTCAAGTCAGACCATTACCTTTACTGGGAAGGCAAGGGCAGATTAGATCATTTACAGCAACCAGAAATGCCACAGATACTACAGCAAACTATATGAGAATGTTTGATGATGAAAAGTGGTAAGGAAAGAAGTTGTTGGAAGTGCTCAAGTTCAGTCAGCTCATAAAACTATTAGTGATTTTTGTAACGGGAATTACTGGTATGCTTCAAACATTTCTTATTTCTAAATGAGAACAAGAAGTTTCTCACATTCCTTTGCTTAACCCACATGAAAGATATTTGCCATTCTTGATGCTCATTTATTCCCCCTACATAGTTTTTTAATAATAAAACAGATATAAAGATTTTACAACAATTGTTTTATGTTGGCAGCTACTGAACAAAACAAGTACACAAAAGAACTTGACAAAAAAACAAGCAAAATTAAACAATCTAATGTGAGCTGTCACTCCAGAACACAAATTTTATCTCAGTGTGAACTAAAAACACTTAGTATTAAGACTTTACATTAGAGAGCAAAGCCACTTTTACAGAGATCCTTTAGCAAAAGGCTGCAGATTAAGACAATAGAGTACAGACTTCAGTGGTCTAATTTCCAACCAAGGTAGGTCCCAAAAGCAATGGTTCTGGAACATCAACCCTGGCCTGACAAGCCAGTGGTGATAGGAGGATCCTCCACCCTGCAGAGCCCACTGGAAGAGGGGGAGAGCATACAGAAAGCACTGACCCACACAGCTCTGATTTCAAAATTATAGCTTAAGAAATGGCAATAATACTGGCTTACATGTTCAGGCACAATTATGAAACTTTCACATTTCAGAATGACTTTGTATACTGTTGTTAATTCTTCTCTTGAAGTTCAGAAGATAATTAAATTAGGACGTTTCACAGATGGTATCTTAAGCTTTACCTGGGAAATACCAGCTCTGCCCTTCCTATTTCCCAGGGCTGTGTGTTACATAATTGCAGTTATTTTAACTACATTACTCCCTCATGTCACATGGCAAGCAACTACAAACTGCCTATTACAATACATGGATTACTCACATTCTGCAACAAAGTTTTAAACTTTAGGTGGGTGTCACCTGTTGTTATGGATTTTGCTGAGAGAAGTTTCTGTCACCTTTACTATCCTTTATGCCTTGTCTCAGTCACCCAGC